GTCTGCTTCTGTCTCCTTGAACCCCAGTGGGCCTCAGCAGATGGCCGCTCACACTGAGCCTGGTTCTGCTGGAGGTTTCTTCCTGTTCAAAAGGAAGTTTTTTCTCTCCACTGTCGCTAAAGCATGCTCAATGTGAAGTATTGCTGAAGAATAAATGAGTCGGTGCAATCAACTGGTTTTCCTTAGATAGAAAACTTTGAATCAATCTGACTGGATGATCTGGTGAGCTTTAAAGTGACCTGAGATGACGTGTTGTGAATTGGAGCTATAGAAATAAACTGAATAGAATTGAATTGAACTAGTGAGCAGCACATCGACCTACATCATAGAGGAGAAGGTTTTCCTCCTCTCAGTTCAGCTGAAGCGTAATGAACATTTCATCAACACCGTAGAACTTGATTCAGAGCTCAGTCTTACGTTTAAACGCTTTGGGGGACGTGTCGGCGGCGCCAGGCGTCTTTGGAACGATCATGCGCTTCCCAAACACCTGGACATCAAAGCTTGCATAGTCAAAAGAAACCTTGGAGTATTTCTCCAGCTCCTTGGCCAGGTTGGCTCGGGGTGTGGTGGTCACCGTGTTGGGCCGGTAGCTGCCATACTGAGGGATCTCCAGCTGTTTCACAAAACACATCGGTCTGCAAGAAAAGTCAGGGGTTCACCGAAATGCCTGGAGACAGGTGGGCGGCCCTGGAGGAGGGAGGGACTGCCTTACCGTAGCACTCTATCCGAGTTGGAGGTGGGCTCAGCGGCTGAGGCCTGCAGTTGGACCTGCTTGTCCTGGTTTTTGTTCAGCTTAGCTGCTGCTGCTATGGGGCAGCCGGACAGGCTGAAAGGTTCAACATTCAAACAATCACTTTAGCCAAAAAACAAGCATCCAGACGGTTACTTTAGGTCATTCACTCCAACATGCGTTAGTAGTATTAGAGGGGATTCAGTTTTCTGAAATGTCTCTGATTTTTCTTAAATACACTGCAAAAAGTGAAATATAAGGAAATAAATGTTTCTCTCTTGGAATTCATGTTTTACCTTCATTTGAGCAGGAAGACTGTTTCCTAATGGAGTAAAATGATTTATGTTTAGAATAATTAAGAACAGCTACATTATCGCATTTCAAGTGAATAATACCAAATTATTTTATTTTAAGCCCATATAGATCCTCTCATTTACCTGCTCAAATCAAAGGCAAATCGACATATTTAAAAAAGTTAAACTTATTTCTAGATCTGTCTCTGCAGTGCAAATAGGATAAAGATTAGACAATAAAAACGTTCAGTCTTAGATCTAGTCAACAAGTCTATTTGATCATTTTGAGATTAATATACTGAGTAAGAGTAGATTTTTAGATGAATAATCTCCTTTTGAGAGGATCCTACTATCAATGCAATAATCTGTCAGTGCAGGAAGACAAATCTGTGTCGCTGGGATTTGAATTGAAAATGCCACTGAAATTTAAATGCTGTATGTTTCAGTGTTAAAATATATTCAGAACACATTTTTGACCTAAACATTTTTTATTGTCGACTAAGAAACCGTAACGGGATTGGCTGGGTGTTGGACGCCACAATCCATCGCTAATGTCTGTGACCTGAAGTAACCCTTCCCTTTTTACACTGAATTTAGACGCCGAATTTAAGACGGTGAAATAGAGCCAGTTGAATCTCAGGAGGGTGAAAAGATTGAGTTTGAATATTGAGGTTGAATTTTTTTTATATGCAGATTTTTTTAACACTGAAAATTTTACCATAAGTATTGAAAATGCAATCATTTTGAAATAGTAATGTGAATTTTTAGCTTGAAGAGAAAATAACAAATGAAATTACAACTGTGTAGAAATAATGACAATGACTTTTTTTAGGTCAAAAATGTGTTCTAAATATATTTTAACACTGAAACAGGAAGTACAAACATACAACATTTGAATTTCAGTGGCATTTTTAATTCAAATCCCAGCGACACAGATTTACTTCCATAAAGACAGCTGCACCTGCTCAGAGTTCTGGAAATCATCAATCGATTATTGCACTTTTCTCATTAGAATTTTCCCAAAGGAAGAT